GGACCCAGGCCTGTGGCCACTCCTGTGCCGCCTGGCCGGCGCCTCGTCCTACACTGCCTATACCGAGGCACTGGCCGAACTGCGAGCCCAGGGCCCGGACGCCTTCGTCAAATATTTTAACCACAACTGGGCGCCCCGCCACAACATGTGGGTGCGTTTCCGTGCCTTTGAGGCCTCCGAAGACCTGGACGCCTGCGCCCTGGTACATGGCCACCGCAGGCGACTGCTGAGCCACCTCAGCCCCTCACACAGCGTGGCGCAGTGCCTTCGTGACCTGGTGGCCATACAGTGGGCCGACGCAGCCGGGGAGGCGGCCTCTGAGGGCGCTGATGGCCGAGGGGTGTGGCTGGATTGCGAGCTCAGGAGTGGGGCCCAGGTAGAGGGGGTGAGGGACCTGGACGCCAGTGACAAGGGCGGGGCCCAGCCAGAAAGGGAGCAGGGGAGGGGCTTGCAGATGAGAGATTGGCCAGGGGTCCATTTGGAGAACCAGCAGGTGAGGGTGCTGGAAGGGAGTGTCTGGAGGGGACCTCAGTTGGAGAAGGAGCCCTCGAGAGGGCCAGAGGTCAGAGACTGGAGGGGAGCCCACTTGGAGCATGGAAGCTCCAGGGTCCTGGAGATCACAGACAGGAGGGGAGCCCACTTTGAATCCGAGAGAGCCGGGAGTTGGGAAGGAAATCTCCGGAGAGGGGTCCAGCTGCAGGATGAAAGGGCAAGTGCACTGAAACTCCGGGACTGGAAGCAAGGGAGAGGGGTAGCTGTCAGAAACTGGCGAGAGATCCATTTGGAGAAGACCTTGGACTTGCTTCCTGGGCACAGAGACCAAAGAGGGGTTCAGTGGGCAGATGAGGGGCGGAGAGGGTCAGAGATCACTGAGGAGAGGGGTGGGCAGCTGGGGGTCAAGAGGAGACGGGGCCTGGAGGAACTCGTTGTGGTCCATCTGGCAGATGCCAAGGTTGCAGGCATGGCAAATGGAGGGGGAGGGGGCGCCCGGCCGGTGGGCTCCAAGAGCAAAGCAGGGCGAGGAGTAGAGTGGGGGGACACAGGAGGAAGGTGCCCAGGGCTGCCCAACGGAGCCCCGTGTGCCACTTCCAGGGGAGCAGCATTGGAAGGCAATCCAGAAAGGGCAGTGACGAGGAGCGGGTCCCTGGCTGTAGGGGAAGCCCTGCTGGAACGAGGTCAAGGAGAAGGCCCACGGGAGCCCAAGAGGCTTTGCTGCCCCTCCAGAGAGCCAGAGATGGACTGGGAGCCCCTGGCCAAGTTCCGAGCAGCCTGTGGGCCAGAGCTAGCAGATCTGGTGGCTGAGGAGCTGGCCTTCGCCAGGCAGCATGGCACCCGGGGTTTCCACTGGACTGGAACTGGCTTCGCTCTTAAGGATGGCACCTCAGACTTCTTCTTGGATGGGGCCCTCACGTACTGCAGCTGCTCCATCCACGCTGCCCGCCGCCTGCCCTGCCGGCACCTCTTCGCAGCACGCCTCCTCACTGGGGCCGCCTTGTTTCACATGGACTTGCTCAGGGATTGCTGGGGGAGAGCCCAAGAGCCCTGACCCTTCAGGCTCCTGCCTGCCACCCTCCGTGTGGAGGACAGGCATTCATTTATCCCAAAGATAACAGGGATGAGCCAAGGAGGCCACCCCTGTCCCTCTAGCCACCTCCTGGGTCATCCAGGGACCTTGGCAGTTTGCCTCTCTGGCTCAAGAGGAAACTGACAGTGTTCTCTGAAGCCACAGCTGTAGACGAGGCTGATGGCCAGGTTGGCCTCTGAGGGCTTCCCTCAGGAGAGGAATGTGTGAGGAGAGGTGGAAACAGGGTCAGGCCAAGGAAACGGACAGGCAAGGAGGGAACGGAAGGAACAGTGCAGGTCTGGGGAGGACACCAGGATGTGGGGGGACACAGGAGTAGACTGGTCATCGTAGGGATTGGAGGGCGACGGTGGAAAAGCAAGGGAGGAGAGAGAACGAAAAGACATGGAGAGGTGAGGAAACCAGGAGAGGTGGAGAACAGGATAAGAGAAGAGGCAGGATGCGAAGACACGCGGAGGGCAGGCGAGGGGAGGAGAGAATCTGAAGAGTTGAGAAAGGATTGACAAAGGACATGGAGAGAGCAGAGGAGTGTTTGGGGCGTTTCTCCGAGAGACCTGGACACTGGGCCTTCCCGAACGCTCTGGTTGTTCATTGCAAAATGGGAATCTGGAGGGGTGAGCTGAAGACCCCCTGGGGAGGCAACTCTGGATTGTTGCACTTAAAGAATGGAATAAAACAGTATTATTTTGGTTTCCAGGCTGAGTTCATGGCTTCTGGGGGAGGGTGAGAGGCTCCGATCTTAACGATTGCTGTGTTAACAATAACATTTTAGACGTATATAAGAATAGCATGTATTGCCTCTGTGTCTTTGGTCACCTAACGGAATGAGAGGTGGGGTGACAAGACCTTTGCTTTCCAAAGTGTGGTCCACAGAACAGCAGCATCAGCACTCCTTGGGAGCATGTAAGAAACCTAGAGTAGGAAGAGACTTGTGGTGAAGAAAACAGACGTGGGCAGATGCTTCTCAAAAGGACCTTGCAGGTCATGTCTGCCAGGAAAAGGGGGCACACGGCTCTGAAGATGAAGCCGTCTCCTTAACACAGCAAAGTAGGAGAAAATAGAGGACAGGCATCGGTTTGAGGCATCGAAGGGGACACAACTCTGAGAAGGACAGACTGTCCTGCTGACCAAAGAACAAGGACTAGTGGTATGGGGTTCTGCGCTGGACTGGAGTCTGGTTGGTCATCCGCTCAGTCCTGGTTTTGTAGCTGTAGTGGACTCTGGCATGAGAGGCATTTGGATTCCCAGGAGATGATTGTTCTTGCTGAGCGGGTAGGGAGGTGCAGCCTCAGTTCAGAAACCGTAATAGCTCCTATGTAGGGGAGTGACCTCAGCAGAGGGTGGTCTGTGAAGCTCTACTTTTCCTGGAATCCAATAGGACTTCAGGTTTAGGATAAGGTCCAAGATAACCGCAGGTGTAAGGGCTTCTAGGCATCTGCCCGGGGCTCTGGAACTAAATGCCGTGAAGGCTGGTAATTCATGTCCCTACACATCCTTCATTTAGTTGCTTTTACCTTGGAGTCTTCTGTCTTGAAGGGGATGAGATCATCTAGGTAAATTTAGAGCTAATAAGCTTTTTACTGCAGACGCTCCTTATGTGATTAACATGCCTGTGTGCAGAGCTGAGCGGGGATCTGAGTTTCAAAGAAATAAAGGAGATGAAAAATGAAAGCAGAGACGCCAAGTTTATTTCTTGCTTTGGGGCATATGCCACTAGGTCATCGTTACAGAAAAATGAAAGAATAGAAATGGAAGACTGGCTAGGAAGGCTCCCACGTCATGCTTCCTCGTTGCTATGGTGACAACAGAGCTTGCTCCGAGAACTAAGGTTCAGCAGCCTTGCTTATCTATAAATCCTGCCGCAGCAGCCAGGGAACTCCGACCCCAAGGGCTGGCCACTCGCGCTTGCGCGGTAGAATCTGTTGTTTACCGCTGCTCAGAGTATGTGCGGGTTACAGGGGCTCTGGGCTTCTGGAGGGAGGAGTGAGAGGTAGTGTTTACACTCTAAGACCTGTGTATCCGCTCCCCACCCCGCGCCATGCTCCCCCGTCTGAGTTTGACCCCAGATTCCGTTGCCTTGGTAACCCTGGGGCTGTGGGAGACCAGAGAGCAAGAGGATTAGAGACGTTTGCAGAGGAATTAAGGACAATGACCGTGGAATAGGGATGTTCGTGGAGGAATGCAGCTTGTCATGGAGAAAGTGGGTTTCATTGTTGCCCTGATGTTAGGGGAGTTGTAGTGTTTTAAAAGGAGTGGGTACGTGTGATGAATCCGTTTGTAATAAGGGGATTCGGAGAGCTCGCTCAGAAATCAGTATGTGATTAGGTAACCGGGATACTTCGGGTAAAGTGAAAATGCAGTAGGGAAAAATCAGAGTGCTGAACTCATTCCTTAGTTCTGCACAAAGATTCCGCCATGTGCAGGCACAGCCAGATGTCGAGAATACCACGACGCCGAGGAGGGCAGGTGCAACTATGATCGGAATGGCGACTTTTGTAGCGGAGTCCGGATGGTACCGAGGGTCCTGTACCCTGGGGGAACGATGGGAGGCGGGGGGCAGCCGGAGTTAGAAGTAAACACCGCAAAGGCTGCGCACGAGCTCGCACGCCAAGGTTCGGTTTGACCTTTATCCGAAGTGGTTTGCGAAGTTGTTGGATTTTAGGCAGGAATGACATGTTTTAAGAACATCCTTCTGGCTACTGTGGGAACAGACCTTAGGGAACAGGGATGCAAGGGGAGAGACCGCTCAGGATGCTGTTGCAGGCATCCTTACCAAAGACGTCAGGATGAAGATGCTACAACGTAGGGAGGGACTGGCAATACGTAAGGCACACAACTTTCACCAAGATAGACTATATACTAGCCCACAAAGCTTGCTGGAATAAGTACAGAAACTAAATTAACCCATATATAGTATCAGATTATGGGCAATGAAAACTAGAAATCAACACACACACACACACACACACACACACACCCTGCAGAAATTTTGCAAACACATGGGAACTAAACAGTACACTTGCTTGAATAACCAGTGGGTCATACAAGAAATCCAGAAAGAAATGAAAAATTTCCTAGAATCCAGTGATAATGCCGGTATAACATACCAGAGCCTGTGGGACAGTGAAAGCAGTGCTAGGAGAGAACTTTATAGCTAAAGCGCCCGCAGCAGAAAAACAGAGCAAGTCCAAACAAATAAGCTAATAATGTGCCTCAAAGCCTCAGGGGGTGGGGTGGGGGTGGGGGAAAAAGTAACAGAAATTCAAAGCTGGTAAAAGAGGGAAATCTATGAAGATCAGAGTGGACCATTGTTGGTGGGAATGCAGATTAGTGTAACCATTATCAAAGTCATTGTGGAGATTTTTCAAAGAACTGTAACTAGAAATTCTATTTGACCCAGATATTCCCCATCTAGGTATCTTCCCCAAAGAGTGAAAGACATCCTATTACAGTAGCACGTGCATACTCATATTTATAACAGCACAATTCATAATAGTCAAACCCTAGAAGCAGCCGGTATGCACATCAACAGGCGAATGGATAGAGAAAATGCAGCACCAGGCCAGGGATTTAGCTCAGTGGTTCCACTGGCTGCCTCGCAAATGCAAGGTCCAGAGTTTGATCCCCAGTACCAAAAGAAAGAAAGAAAGAAAGAGAGAGAGAGAGAGAGAGAGAGAGAGAGAGAGGAAAAGGAAGACAGAAAGAAAAGAAACAGCATGCAGTCTTGATGCATAATAAAATACTACTTGGGTATAAAGAAGAATGAATTCAAGATATTTGTAGGAAAATGGGTACATCTGGAAGACAGTGTTAAGTGAAATGAATCAGACACACAAGCTTAAATTCGATACGATGGCTCTTATTTGAGTAGGTCCAAGTATAAATAAAGAGCAAAATAAGGATTGATAGAAGGGAACAAGGAGGTAGGTCTTTTGGAAGAGCAAATGGGAAGGAGTCCGGGAGAATGTGGTTGGAGGAGGGGAAGGGGAGGTAAAAAGATTTAAGAAGTTTCCCTTTGCATGTTCAGATATCCACAGTTAATGTAAACATTGTCGTGAACATGGACCAACGAGAGCAGCAATGAGACAGTGAGTGGAGAAAGGGCATTTAGAGGAGGAGGGAGAGAGATGGACGGGAGGGGGAGGGGTTCCGCAGGAATCGAGCATCGTCTCACGTGCACCTGCTCCCTGAGAGGGAGCCAAACTCCATGAGACGTAAACCTGCACGAATAAAACGTTTAAAAATTAAAATGGAAATTGATGAAATGGAAACTATAAAATAATACAAAGAATCCATAAATCCAAGAACTGGTTCTTCAAAGAATAAACAAAATAGGCCAACATGTAGCCAAATTTAACAAATAAAAAGAAAACAAAATACCTATGGCAATACAATTGAAAATGAAAAAGGCAAAATTACAATGAACAATGAAAAAATTCAGAGGAGTATTAGCAAATACTTCCAAATTCTTGTACTCCAATAAACTGAAGAACCCCGAAGAAATGGGTAGATTTTAGGTATATATGAATTACTAAAACTGTACCAGAATGAATCTGACAGTAGCATTTCTAATAAAATTGAGTATTCGTTAATTTAAGAAAAATAGATATTATATGTAAAAGTAGAAGGATGCTAAGAAAAAACTGATAATATTCAAATAGAAGAGAGTAATAAAATGAAAATTATATATTGATTAAGGCAATGAAAATAAAGAAGAGTATATAAAAGAAATCATAGAATAGGAGGGATTTAAATATGTCCACAGAACTGAAACAGACTTAAATTTGTGTTACTAATCAACCTGAAATGTGATAATACAATACAGATATGAGACACAGCGTAAAAGATGCTCAACTGATTATACACATGGACAAATTTGGAGTTATAACTGTACTAAAGGAATAGATAGTTGAAGAAAAGAAAAAATACAGTAAAACCATACATGAAGTAAAGGAGAAATAGTGTCAATAAGAAAGAGAGAAGTAATATGGGTATTTTAGAGTACAAAACTATTTTTTTAAATCTCAAAAATGGGAACACACTACAGCAGTCCAGATCTGACAGTGGGAACATCAGGGCCATTTTACCTCCCTCTCATTTGCAGGGCTGACTGTTGCTGGCACTTTAACCTGGGCCTCCAGCTCCCCAAGACAGCGAAGTGATTTGGAAAAGCTGTGTCTGACCAGCAATAAATACACCAGGGGTGCACTAGCAGTACCTTGCCTCCCAGTGAACATTGGTACCTCTCACCTTTTGCTTCAGTGGTCTTATTTATTGTACATCAATTGGACGTGCCCAGAAGAGCAACAAATCACTCTCCCACATGGGAAACAAACCTCCTGGTAAATATGTGAGATTTATTAATTAGTGCAAAGTCAGTTTGAGGATGTGTTTTCTCATGTTCAACTACATCAGAAAGTACATAGCGTTGGTTCATTTGTTTTTTCATGAGGTAGATGTCTTTGAGCCCTTATATGGTGCCAGGTATGACTGCAAGCCCTGGAAATCACAATCAACAAGCCCTCGTTGTACTTCGTATTAGTACATGATTGCAGTAAACATTGTCCAGCTTCGTTGGGTGGACTTGGTACGTACATGTAACGCATCTTAATTCCTTTCTAATTCCCTTTCCCTCCCCTCCCACCTCTCTGTCCGTCTCTTAATTGCCTTCACATTTGAGAAAGATCTATCTCCCTACTTCCTATTATCGATCTTTTATTTTACTCTTTATTTACAATTTAGGTTTCTCATGTAAGAGAAACCATGCAATATTTAAGCTGATGTGTCTGATTTATTTCACTTAATATTTTATCTATTATGACTCTTATTTGATTTTTATCATCCATTCTGTTGACATGGTATATCTCATTTATAAATTTAATTATGTTGAAATAGTCTTGCATTCCTGAGGTAACCCAACTTGATTTATTCTTAAAATGGTTTTTCTTGCATCCTATGCATGTTGAAGTTATGTATCTATTTTCATTTGCTCTCCATATTGATTTCTTCTTTGATCCACTGTAATTTTTGCACAGTTGTTGATTTTAAGAATTCCTTTTGTAATGGCTTCACAATTTTAAACTAAAATTTCTTGGACATTATATTTATTGCAAAAGAAATTTTCTTAATTTTTGACATGCTTTGTAGGCTAATATGTGACTTTTCCTGGAGATGCTCTGTGCATGCTTGAGCCAATGTGAATTCTAGTTTCAAGAAGTGATCAACCATTATTTCCTTCCCAAAGGTCACTTCCCTTTATCTCTCTTTTTTGTGTTACTGTCTTTTTCCATGCAGCGGATGGTGCTGTGCAGCTTTTGTATGCTTTCATTCTTTGTCCTTTTGTTTTTCTACCTAGCTAACTTCAAAGGACATGTCTCGGTCTGCTGATGCTTTCTTTGCGTGATTATGTTTGGATCCAAGCTCACTGCTGAGTTATTCAGTTCACTTCCCATATTCTTCAAAACGGGACTGTAGTTCGGTAGAATTTTAGGGTCTTAACTTCTTTTTAAAATTTCGCTTTTTCATTTTATTTTTTTATTTTGTTTTATTGTCCATCTGTGCCTGCTTCTATCCTGTTGAGCTTCTTTAACATAGT